GCGACGAGTTAGTGCTAAGAGAGAAGAGCGCTCACCTATACACCTACTTCTGCAAGGTGGTCCACTCGCAAAAGGTTTCCATAGAGTGATAGCACTCTGCCTCCAGCTCAGCTCTGATTGAAAACCGGGCGAATGACCTCAACAGGTTACGGTACTGACCAAAGAATCAGAAAGTCGCCGGGACCATACCCCCAACTCCTTTGGATCTTCTACGCTTAGATAATACTAGGACGGCCAAGCATTACTCCCAAGCCACGAAGGTGGCTTGTTTCTAGTAATCAGCAGCGATCACCTCCGTCTCCAGGACACCAGGATACCTTCAGGATTGCGGAGTCCACGCCAATACGTATGACACCACAAAAGAGACATTACGATAACCTCAAATGGCTTTGTCCATAAGTGCCGGTGCTGCACTTATAGACAAAGCCATTTGGCCGGTGCAGCCATTTTAGCTGCTACAGCAGCTTCGGCACTCTCACAGTCAGAGATTGGCCCCAGAATGGCGCACCATATATAGTTAAGGCCATCAAACAGGCACACTGGTGGAATGCTAATAAAAGGAAATTCGAGCGTATATACCCCATATTTGTACGACCATGTTTGCGTTTATTATATGTACAACCGTATGTACAAACATTGAATATTTCAATTGAATATTGAAAATCGAGTAAAATTTAGTTAATATGTAAAGAGTACAAGACCCCAAAAAGAAAAAATAGAAACAGATGTCTATTAAAATTAAAATGTGTACATATGACGAGTTTTTATTAAAGAGTGATCCGACTGCTCATATAGAACCGCAAGTTGATTATTTGAGACGGGAGAATTCTGTAGTAGTCAAAGTAATATTTATTTGGGTAAAAATAATAGCAATCCGAAGTGTTTTACTTCGTTGCACTGAATCGTGTTCCCTTACACAAAATACGCTTAAGAACGCGACTAGATCAAAAATGTTACCCCCTCGGTCACGAACACCGAGCAATTCACTTCTTGGTCACTGTCAGAAGTTCCGTTCATTTCTCACAATAAGAAAAGACGTAATCATTTCTAGAGAGGAATCACGTCCAACGAGCGACAACGCCGGAATTCCGTCTAGTCCCGACCTCCCGACCAGTCTGTGCCTGTAGATAATTTTCTCCGGGAAAAAAGAACTGGTTTTCTTTCCAAGTTTTTTTTTTCCACTAAAATAAGGGTAACAACCCGAAACAATTTGTCGCTTTAGCCCCCTTCCACTATTTGCTATTGCGGAACAATTTATCGAAGAGAAACCAAAAAAACAATTTATTTTTCGATAAGACAGAGTTCGCACGATGAGTTTGTCGAAATCGTGGAGGCGATAATTGAATATCGTATACGATTATATTTTGTGAGATCACTTCGTTATGAGACAGTTGTGACATTTTTAATTCGTAAACAGTGTAAAAACGTATTTTCATTTAACTTTTTGAACCCGTGTTAGATTATTTGACATTAATATATATGGCAAATAAAAAAATATGAATAGGAAAATTTTATTTAAAATGTGGTCAAAAGAAATTTCACCATTAAAACTGTAAAGTACTCGAAAGTTCTGAATTGGCTGTAAAGTCGAAGACGGGAAATTTGAATATTTTTTTTCAAAATCATAAAAACCATTGCTGTAATTCATAAAAAAAAAATCAAATCATTCATTTGTATTCATGAAACATTCATCTTTAAGATAAGAACTATAATCAAGAAGAAGTTAAACGCTGTCCCATTTATCGAGTTCAAATGTTCACAGAGTGTTAAAAATCCGCATCAATCGGTCAATGATTAAGAAGGCATTCAAAACATGTCAATAGAATTATTTCCATATATTATTATGCTAGTTTACTCGACAGTCTATGTGTGATTCCATTCAGTATGTACTTGCAAACCAATCGTCACGTTCAGGTTAATGATACCAAATATTATTTCGCCACCAATCGCTACTCAAACATCACTGAGGTATGTACTCTAATTATTCTACAACTAACAAGAACAATATCTTACAATTGTTTCGGTAATCATCATTTCATAATTTAAGCGTTGCTTCCATAAACTATCTCATATTTTTTTTAAACACCATCATGCAAGTATGTAAGTCTTTGCGATTTCACAAATAAAATTCCGGGGTATTTCTTCACAGCTATATATATATGTCGATATAAATGCTCAAGCTTAAACTCGATTCCGTAAAGCAGATAAGCTGTAGTCGTTACCGAGCTGGACTTCTCAAGATAAAGAAAAACTTTTAGATTCGAATTCGGCAGATGTTGCAAAAAGACGCTCGGAAAGTTAGTTCCAGTTTACTATGAATGCGAACGTCCTGAGTCCAGTTAAACTCTAAATATCCGAGTGACTTTATGTAACATGAATGAGACGTAAGCATGTTCGAAGTTAAGGCTCACGTGAAATGGAATCTTGTCTCCATTTTTTTTGTTTCTTTCTGAAACTTAAAATTTAAATGAATATCACCTAAATGTGGATTAGAATGACTAAAAAAGTCTCTTCTTCATTATACTAGAAAATCATCAAGAATTATGAGCGTGAAGGTGTTAAAAAATAGAAAAAGGGCAACGACTATGACACGATATGAAATTGCAACGAGAGGACGTAGGGCGTGGGCCAACCGGGACATGGTCGCGACAAATCCTACGATAACGCCTTCATTACCCGCATGTCAACCCTCTTCTCGGCGCGTCTTCGTCACCACCTCAATCTTTTCGCGGATATTACACTTAAATTATGATATAAGTGCCACATCGGGAGCTGCATAATGAATCTTTTCGATGATTAATGACATATCTCTTTGACTATGACATGTGGAAAAGGTTTGTCGTAGCATGTCAGCGATGCGGCAGCTCAAAACTGTTTATGAACTGTGGCACATGCCTTTTGTGTTTGGGTTTGATACTTGCTCATGGCACAGAGTATACAAATAAATAGAAAAGATAAATCGATAGGCCGATTGAACTACTTTTAAAAGTTTGAATTTTAAATCACATTTTAAACCAACGATAGTTTTGCGGTGAAGAACGACTTTAGCATACTACTACTTTATATATACAACAATTTTGTTCAGACCTAGTATGACATTTAAAAATATAAGTTTTTCTTTCCTTGTGTGCCTTATTACGAGTACTAGAGATCGAATAATCGGATACATATTTACTTAAAGTTCAGGTGTTGGCCATTATGGAAAGCACTCATTTGTCGACAAAACACGCATTTTTTTTTAATTATGTTCTTTGTGTCTTCTGTATGTACAAAATTTATAAATATTTTGCAGGATGTCCTAAACAGACAGATAAATAGCATCGAGCTCAATTTAAAACATTTACAATAGTTGAAGAGTTTTCTCCACCCTGCTTTTCACACCCTATATATACACATACTCGAATGAAGATTTAAAATTTAGTGTAAAATAAATATACATCCGACTAGTTAAGCAATCCACGTATCCCAGGATCTTATTTTTGATAAAAACATTTTCAGAAGCCGCTTCCATAATACATAGGTATGTAAGACGAAAATACACTTTAGGTAATCCACCTAATGATATTGCACAAAATAAAAACTAACAATCGAGCGTCGGACTTTATTTAATCTGTGCTGATGGACTGAATTGTGACAATTTCGGCTTGGAGCTCCAGCAAAAAGTTTTTCGGTTTTTATGACCACAGAAAAAAGTTTTGTCATAATTAAAATCTGTTATTAGATAAAAGACTCATTAATAAATTCCCGTTTAGCCACCAGGAAACTGTGGTTCTACCGAAAGAAATTTGAAAAAATATAAATTTCAAACATGTTTCGGAAAACACTAAATGAAATTTCAAGCAGCAAAATACTTTGTGGATACTAATACAGTTAATTAGTTTTATAAAAATGGTATCCTTTGAGATATTCACTTTAGAGTTTTCTCTTGCTCAAAGGGCTTTTACATTAATTTCAACTTACTACATATTTATTGAACCAGTTGAATGAAGCAATCTTAGGTTTGACTAAAAAAAAAAGATTGAATTACCAAGCAATTTCGGCCTTTGATTAAGGCTTCTTCTACTTTTAATTAAAGACTACAAACTTAAGACTAGTCTGTGATCTTTCGGATTTGTCTATAACATTCATCCATACTAATTTTATAAATGTGATATAACTTGAATCTCTTTATCGTGGGAAAACGCAAATTATTTAATGCCTTCTGAATTACAAATTTCGCGAAGCCAAAAGTCATGAGTGAGGTCTAGTATCAAAAAGTGTTACGTTAAATATCTCTTTTTATTTTGCTAGATGATTAGAACTCACGACACCCTAAGAGTTACTGGGGCTGTCCGTAAAATATCAGGCTCGAGTCTAAATTGTAAGTTAAAACGACTGTCGCATCCCTCAAACTGGAACGCACGACTGCTTCGCCTCAGAAATAGATAGGATGATGTTACCCATCCGTGCGGGTTCATATTCGAAGAATGCGTTTAATAAAAATAGAAATCAAAGCTTATAATAAAAAGAAGATGTGTGGTGTCGTGGGACACCGGATAGGAACGAAGTTCCTTATTATAAAAATATTAATTTTAAGTTCTATTCGAGGTATAAATAAAATAAAACTGGAGGTTTCGCAACAACCCACGGTCATTCAGTAACGTGCGAACTTATTGTGGTACATTCATTCACGGTTGTTTGCATAAGAGTTACTAGTTAGTGTATTGCGCAAACGAACACTCTGAGATCGTGGTCAATGAATGATAAAAAAATATGTTATTTTTTGTACGTTACTACAAAGTTAAGTCGTACACTGTGTGCATTACTAATAAAAATCTTAGGTTACGGACGGTATTTTCCCGGTTAGGGTACCCCACCGCATCGTCCCATAAGGAACTTTGTTCCAAAAAGATTATTCCATTTTGTTTTAATATATTTTAAGGTATAATAATGGAGTAATATCTGCTAAAAAACGATTTTGCTGAATCGAACGCGAACGCTCAAATGTGTTTCTCTTATAGGTCTGCTTCGCCTCCAGCAACTGTACCAAAGTCTGCAACCGGGCAACGCTACTTTTCGAATTTCTAATGTGAAACGCGTCTCCAACGCAACTGACGTGATCGCATTTCTCGGCTCGATCGAGCGTCTGGATCGCTGGAGCAATAAATACGTTGTACTCGACTCCACAACACAACTCGCTAAAGAAGCTCTAATTTTGCACGTGCGCGACGTAAGGCTCGGGCGCCGGAACTACCATTATTTTCTAAGCGGTCTGGTAAGTAATCCCCGAGTCAAGTCAAAGCCTAATTGTCGGAATTCTGAGGAGGCTGAAGAGGTCACCGCTATTTGCGTTCTAGCGGTCGTATTCAGGATTTGACGAGACATTTTGAAATTAATAATTCCTACTCGTAATTAATACTGTAACTTAAATATGTGAAGACGAAATTTCTAACGTTAATCAAGAACTAATTTATTACCGCACGTTATATTCCTCAACTGAGAATTTAAGTTAAATAAGAAAGAGAAGAAGATAAAATATGAATTAAATGTACATACTTTTATTTGAATTGAATGAAAACAAGATTAGCAAATAGAATCGAGCTCTATATTAATGTTAGAAATCTAAAAGGAACTACGAGAATTAAACTTTGAACTCGTGAACCGTGATCTGGAAAAAATACAAATTTACAAACGTAATTTGCTGCCACAATATTTAAGTTGTGTCTAGACGTCGACAATGTATTTGTTTATCCAGGTGATGGACGATCGCTGGGAAAGGGAGGTCACAGAATTCGGAGCTATTAACATAACTGGGTTTAGAGTACTGGATTTTTCGAGAAAAGTCGTAAGAGATTTTATCGATGTTTGGAAGAAGGATTCTATTTCGGTGAGTACTTTACAATTCTAAGGATTTTATGCGGAACTTTTTATCGAAGATTTTCTCGACAACGTCCAAATCTGTCTCTTTGTTTTGGTCGTCAATCTTGGGGGACAACTCAGGTATTAACGTTGAAATGAGAATCTTGGGGAGCGACTTTAAGGGGTGTTTCGCCCACACAAAAGTAATGAATTATTAAAGGTTATTTTTAGATAAATTCACATGTACAAGAGGATACGACGATAACTGAAGACCAAAATTATAAAATACGTATTACGTATGTATTATATACATATAATATGGTATATAACCATTTCATGTACATCGAAAGAGCTCAAATCCCCCAAGAAAGTGCCACCAAACGAAATTTGGATAATAAAATGAAATCAAACAAAAAGTTTAAATTTTTTTCTTTTCATTCCATATAGAAAAGAACTCTATATGTTATAAAAACATTAAAATATTCTCTTAAAATACTCATACATTTTAAATAATTAATATTTGAGTTATATATGTATTAAAGTGTATTTTTAATAATTCCACTGTGTTTAGGCCCAAGCTGCCCTCATGTACGACGCGGTCCAGGTGTTGGTGGACGCCATAGTGCGGCTACTCCGTAAGAAGCCAGATATACTGAGGGGAACGATAAGACGGAATGCCAACGTGAACACAAGCCGCATCATCGACTGCAACCCTAAAGGCAAAATTACACCTTACGAACACGGCGACAAGATATCACGGATGATTAAAAAGGTACTTAAAACTAGAGACCGCCTTAATGACCCCAGCCGAGACCCACTAGCACGTTATTATGTAACTCAGCCATAACTTTTGTCTAGCAACCCACGCTCATATCATAATTATACGCTAGCTCGGTCTCTGGTCTCGAGTTCATTGTATCGTCACCTACATTCGGCTTCGTTCTGAAAGTAACGGTTGTAGCTCCATCAAGTGTTACCTATTCTGTACGGACGTTTTGAATACACTATTGCGAATGCGAATGATTAATCGGTTCATACATTCAATTACGACTGCTAGCGAATGCTTCGTTATTCACACAGGCTTGTAATGAAGAGTGGATGACGTCGTTGGCAACATGAAACGTCGCGCTGATATAAACAGTTATGTAGTTGAACAACACCACTCATTCACGTTTACGGCAAATACGGCCTCCTAATTAAGTGCGTAGAACTAAATACTCCGTTGACGGGTAGGTTATCTTAAATTAATTAACGCGAACATAGTTTTTTTTTGTTATTACCTACTTTATGGAGATCAGGTTTAGAGATGTACTCGACAAAATTGGGAATCGATTAAAACTTCCAATGATATCGGGAGATGTGAAAAATGTTTTTTTTTTTAATTATTATTATCGGACCAAGGAAAACGGACCAACTTTATTAACCAAGAACGTTATTAATATGTTTGTTCAAGTTCCAATCCTTCAAGACGTAAAGAGTTTTTATTTATCTAAGCCAAAAAGTCAAGAACTCTGTTTGCTTCGTGCTTAGTCTCTTTCGAATCCCTACGCTATTAGTGGCCCAAAAACTTTTACCGTCTATCTGTCCTGAATACGAGTTATTTGGTGCATCAGGTCCGTAATAATGTCGTGCGAAATTTAAATTGAGCGATATTACAAGAACACAGGTGCTGAATACGGGTCCGTCTTTTATCGGGCGCGATGAGGACGGTTCCGAGGTCCCGACGATTAATTAGGTTTCGTCGGGTGACGTGTAATTAACCCTCGCACTTGCTAACTGCTCGGATTCGCCGTTGAAAAATATAAAAATTCCATTTAAAATAAAAATAAAAAAAACAGGGCAAATGGATTTCTCGTTGCACGATTAGAGGTTCTTCGTCCAAGATATCGGAAAGATATTGGAGTACGTAAGTATTGAGCAACGCGAATTACGCTGTCCACGAAGTACAAGAAGCATTGTAGAATTGAAAGTAATACGTTTTGCTTCAGACGGAGTTAGATGGGCTGACCGGAAGCCTTCGGTTCAACGAAGAGGGCCATCGTCGCAACTTTACCTTGCAAATCATGGAGCTCACTGTTGATGGTGAAATGGTCAAAGTAAGTAAACTAAAATCGTAAGCTATCCGACGCTGAATACTCATATGAATGATACAAAAAACTAAAAATGTTCAATCATGCTCAACACAGATTGCGACGTGGTATGACAACCGCGGACTTGTGCCGGTGGTGCCCAAGCTATCACCATTGTCTCCCCCCGGAACATACGATCGAAACAAAACATACATAGTGTCCACCATAGAAGAGCCCCCATACGTTATGCGGCATAAAGCAGGCGGGCCGGAATCCACGCCTAACGACCCATACAGAGGCTTCTGTGTAGACCTCGCCAAAATGTTATCGGATAAGTTGGAAATCAAATGTAAGTCTCCCGGCTCGTGTTATGTGAAAATCGAATTTCGAAGTGAGACCTATTCCGTATTCAATGTCCAATCAGATAATACCTACAAGTTGTAATCTAACTCTCACAACACTGTCTAACTATATTAATGTGATAGTTTCATAAACTTAGCTATTTTGCTGTCGACCGAGACAGGAATAATACATTTGACCTAATATAAATTTGAACGGAAACATTAACAACAATAAACGGTCTATGAAAACTCATTTTTCAATTAAGTATAGACATGTGTCCTAAAAGATTCTTTCGTTTGTTAGATGACTTACGACTGGTGAAAGACGGAAAGTACGGAAACGACAATCCGAAAATAGTTGGCGGTTGGGACGGGATGGTTGGCGAACTCGTCAGGAAGGTAATACAAATTACAATAGTTTTCTTAAAAATGGGTCACTCGATCATAGGGGTCGTGCAAAAGTTTTTAGAAACCACACGACCACAGTCTACGATATTTTCCTTAATGTAATGACGCAACAAACAACTTACAATGGCCATTGTTTTTTTTTAATTCGCAATAGCTAACCCAGCTAAACAGCCTAAAATTTTCAAACGACGACATACATTCAAATACAAATTTAATCTTTCTAATACGGAAATTCGATAGGGAGCTACGTTTTAATACAGTTAAAGACGAGTTCTAAGTACATAATAAAGTAAATTAAATCTTGCGACATTTCTGTATAGACAGTGGTAAAAGCATTATCACGGCCAGTCCTCTTGGGAGTCGAAATTAAGGAGTTGAAATCAGTTCAGTTATCCGTTTGCCGACGTAATAATACTCTTCACTCAAAAATAATTAAAAACCCTTTTCCTTGCTAGGGATATATTTTTTAGTGATCGAATTATTAAGGATGATTTAAATGTGCTAATTGAATTTGCATTTGGTTGTATTAGTTTATTAAGGGACGGGTCATACGATAAACTTTCTAATTAGGTCAGTTTGCTTCGAACGATTTTTGGGCAAGATCAATTCTGTTTTATGATAAAAGTTTTTGTATTTAAGAAGATCAAGTGTTTTAATTTTTCTCATAATTTCCTCTTTTATTTATTTTAGTAGATCAGAACAGTACTCTAAATTATTTTTTACTTTTAATATATGTTTTTGACATCACGAACTATGTTCGAAATTTCGAAAATCGCGTTATGAACAGGAAAAATATGCACGACATTTTAATGCTAAAGTTATATTTTTTTTTTTTTTGTTTATTAACCCTCTGTAATGACCAGTTCATAAACTACCAGATTTCGAAGGGAACTGATACATAAGTTCGACATTTCAATATTAAAGCTACCAGTTTTCAGGCTATCATCCGACCTTACATGCGAACGTCACAAAAATCAAAATAAGATAAAATTCGTTTTTCAAAAGTCAAGCTACTTTTCTGTGAGTAGTTTCACATCCGATGCATAAACAATCATGACCTTGCACAACCACAACTGGATCATGACCATTGGCTATCTTAACTCTTAGATTAATTACAATCAATAATTACTTTCGTTACGACTAATTACTATTTCTACTTGAACCTTACCTACCTACTTAATGTACATTATTAATATTTTAAGGACAACATCAAACATATGGTCAAACACTTCGTTTTTTAATTATGGAAAAGTAAAATGTGTTCTATTATTTATTATTATATATTTTATGAGTATTTTTTTATAATTTAAATAAAATATTCATCTCAATTTTCAAACATACATACATATTTCAAATCGACTTATTGAAATTGCTTTTTTCGCTAATATTTTTGTTTAACATTATACATTATAGTTTTGTTACATTTGTAAACATTACCAGGTGTTCAGTCTTCAAGCGAGCTCTATACGATAAAATAAAAAGTATATTTCCAATGTCCATTCCAAATCCAACCTATTCGAATATGAATGCAAGATTTTCCAATAGCAAACACTCACTTGGACGACGTCAAAACATGATCCGACGAGCTACCGCCCGATTAGCCTCCTCATGTCTCTAGGCAAACTGTATGAGCGTCTGCTCTACAAACGCCTCAGAGACTTCGTCTCATCCAAGGGCATTCTTATCGATGAACAATTCGGATTCCGTACAAATCACTCATGCGTTCAACAGGTGCACCGCCTCACGGAGCACATTCTTGTGGGGCTTAATCGACCAAAACCGTTATACACGGGAGCTCTCTTCTTCGACGTCGCAAAAGCGTTCGACAAAGTCTGGCACAATGGTTTGATTTTCAAACTATTCAACATGGGCGTGCCGGATAGTCTCGTGCTCATCATACGGGACTTCTTGTCGAACCGCTCTTTTCGATATCGAGTCGAGGGAACCCGCTCCTCCCCACGACCTCTCACAGCTGGAGTCCCGCAAGGCTCTGTCCTCTCACCCCTCCTATTTAGCTTATTCGTCAACGATATTCCCCGGTCGCCGCCGACCCATTTAGCTTTATTCGCCGACGACACGACTGTTTACTATTCTAGTAGAAATAAGTCCCTAATCGCGAAGAAGCTTCAGAGCGCAGCCCTAGCCCTAGGACAGTGGTTCCGAAAATGGCGCATAGACATCAACCCAGCGAAAAGTACTGCGGTGCTATTTCAGAGGGGAAGCTCCACACGGATTTCCTCCCGGATTAGGAGGAGGAATCTCACACCCCCGATTACTCTCTTTAGACAACCCATACCCTGGGCCAGGAAGGTCAAGTACCTGGGCGTTACCCTGGATGCATCGATGACATTCCGCCCGCATATAAAATCAGTCCGTGACCGTGCCGCGTTTATTCTCGGTAGACTCTACCCCATGATCTGTAAGCGGAGTAAAATGTCCCTTCGGAACAAGGTGACACTTTACAAAACTTGCATAAGGCCCGTCATGACTTACGCGAGTGTGGTGTTCGCTCACGCGGCCCGCACACACATAGACACCCTCCAATCCCTACAATCCCGCTTTTGCAGGTTAGCTGTCGGGGCTCCGTGGTTCGTGAGGAACGTTGACCTACACGACGACCTGGGCCTCGAATCAATTCGGAAATACATGAAGTCAGCGTCGGAACGATACTTCGATAAGGCTATGCGTCATGATAATCGCCTTATCGTTGCCGCCGCTGACTACTCCCCGAATCCTGATCATGCAGGAGCCAGTCACCGTCGACGCCCTAGACACGTCCTTACGGATCCATCAGATCCAATAACCTTTGCATTAGATGCCTTCAGCTCTAATACTAGGGGCAGGCTTAGGGACCCCGGTAACCGTACTCGTCGAACTCGACAAAGAGGTCGACGTGCAACCTAACCCATGCATCAGCCCGCTGAGTTTCTCGCCGGATCTTCTCAGCGGGTCGCGATTCCGATCCGGTAGTAGATTCATTCGCGAAACAATTGCTCTTGAGTTGTTAGGTCTCCTTCGGAGGCGCTCGGGCAGTTGTTAGCAAATCCCACCCCTCTTGGCTGAGCCTTTGCTCGCCCACCTGTCCTGGTGAAACTGGAAAGGCTTTCGGGCCACCAGTAAACTTTCAATCATAAAAAAAAAAAAAAAAAAAAAAAAAAAAAAAAAAAAAAAAAAACGACGTCAAAAGCATATTTGTGAAATTCCTAGAAACCTTTTCAAGCAAATAGCTATTGGAAACCACCTATTGTATGCCAGAGTAGACTGTACAAACTCTTCCAAACGTTGTAACGTATTGTAGAGATCGAATTTGGAATTTTTTGAGTAAAGTGCAGCCTTTTTCTCGCGTGAATTAATTTTAACACAAAATATCAATTTAAACAACACCTCGTGAACTGGATTTTTTTATAAATACATAAACGGATTTTTTCTTCTTAAATGACGACGTAATCCTGTCTGATGCTTTCAATTAATAAAAATATATATCATAAAATTACGTAGACCATTTTAATAACAGCGCAAAGTTTCACCCAAAATATTTTAAATATGTGATTTTACTTGTTATTTTCAGGAAGTAGATATGGCTATAGCTCCACTCACGATCACACTAGAAAGAGAAACTGTTATTGACTTTAGCAAACCATTTTTGTCGTTCGATGTCAAAACGAAAAAAAATTCATTCAAGGACCCCACTACGATATTCAGTTTTCTTCATCCACTTTCTAAGGAAATATGGGTATGAAATAATCTTAATTAAAGTTTTATCTATACTAATATTATAAAGAGAAAATATTTGTTTGTTTGTTTGTATTGAATAGGCTACGAAACTACTGAACCGATTTGAAAAAATCTTTCACTGTTTGGAAGCTACACTATTCCCGAGTGACATAGTTTAAAAAAAATAGGGATCTTTACCAAATCTCCAATAATGTAGCCCAAGGAGTAGAAAATTTACCTAAAATATTCTTTACATTGCATGCCCTGCGAAAACTATTGATGATAGAATAAAATAACAGTGTCGCGACAGCATATGTCTAACTATTTTAGTTATGCCGCAATAAGTGTTCCTTTATTTAAAAAATAAAAAAAACAACGTCAAATATCGTTGAAATTTTTGTTAAAGACTCGAGCGGAGCCGGAGAGGGCCGCTAGTTCAATAATAAATTTACATGAAACCTATGATTGTATTAAATCTTCACAGCTCTGCATTATATTCAGCTTGTTCGCCGTTAGTGTTGTACTATTTCTGGTATCGAGATTTTCCCCGCACGAATGGCGTTTGATTTCATTCACCGACTCTCAAACTTCGGATCACTCGGAAGTGGCAACAACAAAGGTAAATTTTAAAACATCAAAATATTCTTTTTTTTTATTTTATTACTTAGATGGGTGGACGAGCTCACAGCCCACCTGGTGTTAAGTGGTTACTGGAGCCCATAGACATCCACAACGTAAATGCGCCACCTACCTTGAGATATAAGTTCTAAGGTCTCACGTATAGTTACAACGGCTGCCCCACCCTTCAAACCAAAACGCATTACTGCTTCACGGCAGAAATAGGCAGGGTAGTGGTACCCACCCGCGTGGACTCACAAGAGGTCCTACCACCAGTAATGGTAATTCTTGAAGCTAGACAAAACGAACCCTCCTCAAGAATGTTTCGGCGCTTAAATTAACTTAATTAAAATCGTTCGCAACGTTTCAGACGACCGCGGTCAACGAATTCACCTTCTGGAATTCTATGTGGTTTTCGTTGGGTTCTTTTATGCAGCAGGGCAGCGACATTACGCCGAGGTCAGTGTATATTTTAATATTTGATTGTCTAAAGTAATAAAATTCTCACACCGAAGAGCAGAACATTAATAAGTAGACACGCCAAACAAATATTTTAGTGAAACCGAAAATTTGAGTCACTCTACAACTACATCCCAAAGTAAATCGTATTAAACGTCTAGTGCTTTGTCCATAAAATGTTTTCAGGTTATGTATATTTAACGTAAAATCAAATAATTTGATTCCAAACGGATCGTTTGGGATCTCTGAGTCTGCGGAGGGGCTTCGCTTCTCTCTGTATTTTGTTCCGTATGTTCCATGGGGAGTGCCCTGAAGAATTGTTTGAGATGATCCCATCATCTCTTTTTTACTATCGCACCGCCCGCCACCGGAGTAGAGTTCATCCATACAACCTGGAGCCACTGCGTTCATCCACAGTGCGTTTCCAGAGATCTTTTTGCCACGTACCATCTGGCTTTTGGAATGAGCTTCCCTCCACGGAGTTTCCCGAGCCCTATGACTTGTCCTTTTTTAAACGAGGCTTGTGGAGAGAGTACTCAACGGTAGGCAGCGGCTTGGCTCTGCCCCTGGCATTGCTGAAGTCCATGGGCGACGGTAACCACTCACCATCAGGTGGGCCGTATGCTCGTCTGCCTAGAAGGGCAATAAAAAAAAAATATATAATTTTTTTTTATTCATTAGTGCGTTTTCACGAGAGAAACATACATAAATTTAATTTCCTCAGATCGATTTCCGGAAGAATTGTAGGATCGGTTTGGTGGTTTTTCGCATTGATCGTTATCTCGTCGTACACTGCCAATTTGGCGTCTTACCTCACCCTGACACGTATATCGGAACCGAGTCAATCATACAACAAATTAGCGACATGCCCTGAGGTGGGTAATACAAATAATTTATTTATTATGTTACACTTTCTAGATACATGTACATTACTATCGTTAATTTGACAGGATACGGCTGGCAATCTAGGAAATTCAATGTTCCAAGAAGGAGGTGAAGGGAATGGCTGGCTTAATTTTATCTTCGATCCTGCTGGTTCTAATAGCGAAAATGATAAAAAGCCCTGTGAAATGTTAGTCACCGTTGCCAGCACTGGGGTGCAGGATTTTGCAGTCGCAATGCCGAAGGGATCCAAATTGCGGTGGGCATCCTTTTTATACTCTTAACTATTTAAGCTTTAGCGAAATAGCTTAGCTACTTACCAAAACAGAATTGCAATGCGAAAGCTTGCGAAAATAACGTTAGGTTTTAACGTAGTGCGTAGATTTTACAACGAGAAGTGTTTTTAGGGACGGAATCAACCTTGCCCTCCAATCACTTAAAAATGACGGCGAGTTGCAAAAACTCATCCGCAAATGGTTTACTAAAGCAGAGTGTGAAGCTAACCAGGTAAGCTTGCCCCCCTAAATTCAGTATTATTTTGATAGCTGTCGAGACAAACAAAACTAACATGAAAATTATTTTTCAGGACGTTCAAGGCTCGGAACTGACTTTAGGTCAAGTGGCGGGACTGTTCTACGTCTTGCTGGGTGGACTGGGTCTTGCTTTAGGCGTGGCATTATTGGAATTTTGTCAGCATGGTCGTGCTGAAGCAGCTCGCGCCAATGTCCCACTAGGGGCAGCGTTACGCGCCCGCGCTCAACTTGCTTCGTCTGGAACCAACCGTGACAGGAAGAACAATTCTCAGCGAACCCCACAACGTGATAGCGACCGACTCGGATGGAATGGCGGAGCCTTCACTGGAGTGAGCGTAAGTAGAAATGAACAAATCCCGTTACAGCATTCCATTGAAAATAATCGTGAAGGAACATGAGGAATTGAGTTTTATATTCACAATTATTTACACACGATAGAAAGTTAACATTTCCATTTCTTTATGTCATAACTCAATTCTGCGTATGTTTTCTAACATCGGGCACAGCATGAGTTTTATGATAGTTTCATGATTCCTAAGTTACGGCCTTTTTATAACATTTAGATGCGCGCTTTTACATATTTCAACGCTACCTCATTTCCTTACACGGTGTTATGAAAGAATAAATATGTAAGAAATTTTTCCTTTCAACAAAAAAAAACATTCAATTTCGTGGGTTCTCTTTTGAGAATTGCTATAAAATCATCATGAAATCCGTGTACATTAAATCTTATTTATTTTACGACGTTATATTAAAGTATCAATGGCATTGATAAAACAGACAATTTTTTTTATTGCTTAAATGGGTGGACGAGCTCACAGCCCACCTGGTGTTAAATGGTTACTGGAGCCCATAGATATCTACAACCTAAATGCGCCACCCACCTTGAGATATAAGTTCTAAGGTCTCAGTATAGTTACAACGGCTGCCCCACCATTCAAACCGAAACGCATTACTGCTTCACGGCGGAAATAGGCAGGGCGTTTAATTATTATGTTCGAGGCATTGGTAGTTCAAGGATGCTGGTGAAACACAGCTATGTTCTGGTTACCTAATGACCTTCTCTCATCAAAAATCATTTGAAAATGTATAAATTTGAATATAAAAAAATTATTCGCCCAGTACTACAGCCCGGCCACCCAGATCGGTCAGGAGGAGACTTCCCTGCACGCTAGCTTCACGCAAGTCTGATCCTCGGCTCGGGAGGCCAGCGTCTGCCGCCGGCTATCCCAACCCAGGCGACAATCCACCTCAGTTGATCTCTATCAATTGTAAACGATCAAATAATACCACGGCATTTAACAAAATTTCCTCTAATAATTATTCGACCCATTACAAGACCCTGAATATCTTAATTAATTAACGTATACGCAATGAGCGTCTGTACCTATAGTGAATTAGAATGTACTTTTTCGAACTAATTTAGTGCACAGTTCATCGTATGTACGTTTGTGTATTATGCGAGCGAGTTACATGGTAGAGATGTGTAGATCGGTTAGATTTATGTATTTGTTTCGCGTTTCAATTCGAAACTAGTTTGGGAATGCCCTAATATCCATTTTGGTCGACCTCTATCAAGTACAAACGACCGATGTGAATAAAGCGGCTCAGCACGTTTTTTATTTTTGTTATCGTATAAATTTCTTATTGCTGTATGGTAAGAAAAGCTCAGTTGCCGTGGGATATTAATTTAATGCAGAAAATTAGATTTTCGGATTACTTTTTCTAGATTAATTTTCATGTTCGGCTAATTAATGTATCAACGATACTTTTTTTTCTCAAAATGATTTATTTCAATTCTATGATAATGTTATATTTATAATAAACTAAATATACATTTTACAATTTAGGAGATAATTTATTGGCTCTAAACATAGATCTAGTCGCATTTTAAAATAATTTATGTTATCGAATGATGCGTGGTGCCCTTCAGAAAAAGTGGAACTTTCATAAATTATATCAAAACCTTTGATTTATAATACGTAAAAACATGTGTAACTTATTAGGAACTAATACACAGAAACATGCATCTTCTTCCTTATACACGTGCTGAAAACTTAGTAAAACCTGTCGTATTTAAAAGTAGTTGAATATCAGGGTCTTATATTTATTACGTGTTTAGATTTAAACTTTTCAATTAGATGATGTAATTATAAAATTCTTTAGTTATCTACACCTGGTAGTTAAGTAAAGATAAATGTTAATTATGGCCGAGTTCCCGTGGACGGGCACGAGGCTGCCCTCCTGTCATAATTAACGACCCGCTTGCAGATCTTAATTATTATATTCGTAATATCGAGTATGTGTTCAGTGTTTTCTGTATTTATGCTTCATTAAACCGTTGAGAATCCACGATGTCTGTAATATTTATCGAAATATCTAGATCGCATAGTTTAATGTTGTGAGAAATTCAAAGTTTTTTGCGCCTAATATTATTTTAGAATTAACGTTTGAATGGAACTTTGAGACTCGCTAAGTGATCGTCTTAGATTAATTCTGATGTAATTGTATTTTAATGTTAGTCTGGTGTTTTTGTGTCTATAAATATTCGTCTGATTCTTCTGTGCCAAATTACAAACAAATACTCCAACTTTTCAATATTTCTTAATTCTGCTGTTAAAGATTATTATTTTTATAAGAAGTATTATTTATTTAAAATAATTCAAATACTACTGTATTTATAATTTATCATCAATATTCTCATTTCCGTACGATATTATATCAAATGGAACACACCCTCGTGTCGGTACGGAAATGCCCATTTTTTCCATTTCTACCAGCGAACTTACTACTAATATCAAATTTCGTAGTTAAAACTTAAATTTCTAACTTGAATATCTTATTACAAAACATTCTAAGTATATTCATAAGCGTAGAATAAGTCGCTGTGTGATAATGGTAGACCTAATTTACTCTATAGAGGTAACCCTGAATTGTAGTCTTGCTACGAGAATGCTACTGTGACTTTACGATATATGTAATACATAAACACATATACAGCACTCTATTGATGTATGCACACTAAGTAAATTAATAATCTGTAACTTTGAAGTAGATTCCGTTTCCTTGGAATTCGTACACACGTTTTCTTTTGTGAAATGCTATTGATGACATCATGAACCCTAGGTTAGAGATGCCAAAGGCAAAAATTTAATCATATCAAATTTCTGGGAAAAATCTTTAATCTTTATCTCACCTATCGCTCGTAATTTAAGTTAATATGTCATAAACCTTATTGTTTTAAAGGAATACTTTAAATTACTTTAAGCTTCCGTCCTACAGGTTTTTTTTAATTTTTAAGTACGGTCTGTAAATAAGCTGCGGATAAATCAGTTCTTTTCCATATTGCTTGCTTGCTTGCTGAAAATTAATTTAATTTAAAAGAAGACGTTGTTGGGATTTCGATAAGAAAAAAAGAATTTTAATATAGACGGAAACGTACAACATTCGCCTGCCAATATGAATTCCTTTATTTATTGAGACAGTTAAATGATGCATCGTTTTTTTAAACAAACTACTAGAGATACTTTACTAAAGATTAATACCAAAATATAAAGAAAACGATCATCGGAACTTTCAGATTGAAACGGTCTTGATTTAAACTCGTCAGAACAACTACTCAATTATCTTTTCAATTGTAATCATTACCGATACACGTCAAACACCTCCAACGACCACATGTCAGATATATCATAATATCTACTCTCGATCCACAATAATTAATTACCGTCAACATGACGTGACGTCATAATTAATGCCGAATTTATATAATAACCTCAGACCGCCACTTGATCAGCTGTTTGAACACAAAGAGCTTGTGATTAGCTCAGGTAAATATTTAATATGATAAATTTTGTTTACATGCTTTTTCTTTCGAACGCATGTGGAGAAAAATGATCCGTAATTGTTTGAATATCATCTTTAATGGAAGCGATTTCAAAGTAAACGAAGTTATCGGCGCTGTTAATTATGAAGCGAGTTTTAATGGAATGCGTGGCCACATCCGTCCCTCTGCGAAAGGCTGAATTCTGTTACCGGATCGGTGTAAAATACTTTATTTTAAACATAAACTGAGAAAACACGCGTTTTCAGCTAATTGCGGTCGGTTACAGACGATGTGACATTTCAAAATTTTAATAATAAAAATGAATTTAATTCGCTGTAATAAATAATTTCGCATTTTTCTTTCTAGTTATCTTGCCTGATCTCCTTATTGTTGATAAACATTTACATTGTATTTAATGACATTATTTTAAATCACCAATCGATCAGTAGTCGTTTTAAATAAATTTCTGTTATTGCCATGATAATAAAAATAAACACATTTACGTTATACAATGTTTAGAAGTTATCCTTCAAACGACTGATTTACATAATCGTTTCATTGTTAGTGTTTAGAGTTAAGATATATTTTAATGTTACCGTTATTATAATCGATCGTCTTATTTGTGAAATGTCTGAGTAATCTAACTTATTCAAACATTTGTACGAACGTCACCGACGTTACGAGAATGTGTTTACTGCATACCTGTTTACTTAGCATAAATGTAACTTATTCATATATGAAACTGTCTACTTAAATGTTTGTTATAATAAATCGTAATAAAGAGATAAAATGCAAAATGGCCTTTTTATTACATTGCCCCTCTAATCTCTGTTATAAACTAAATGTATCTCTCATTCAGATCTCTCACATCTCTTCCAAATAAAAATGATGTAACTACTTTTATTATTATTCAGCTATTACGATTCAAGTATCTTAAACGTTACTTTCAACTTGGTAATATAGAAGCGTACGTCCCACTGGATTATAAAAGTCACTTAGCTAAGACGATAAATTGAATTAGAAACATTTGCATGAGCTACGCTACTCACATTCATCTCAGACTATTTTGTTTTTGTTGATTGTGAATACGTAATCACCAAGATTATGTTTAGATCGAAAGTTATGAACGTTTTTTTTTTATTGCTTAGATGGGTGGACGAGCTCACAGCCCACCTGGTAGTGTAAAGTGGTTACTGGAGCTCATAGACATCTACAACGTAAATGCGCCACCCAGCTTGAGATATAAGTTCTAAGGTCTCAAGTATAGTTACAACGGCCGCCCCACCCTTCAAACCGAAACGCATTACTGCTTCACGGCAGAAATAAGCAGGGTGGTGGTACCTACCCGCGCGGACTCACAAGAGGTCCTACCACCAGTAAAAGCAGTAACGATAAGTAATCAAAATTATTGACAAACGTTTTGAGCCTGAATAAAATTACGTTACAACTTAAGTTATTAATTCAACATGCACTAATGTACGATATTACTATTGTGACTAGAGGTTACTTCACCCTCATGGCGGCTGAGCCATTGCTTGCCCACTTTTTTTATTTTTTTTTATTGGCCTTGTAGGCAGACGTGCATACGGCCCACCTGATGGTGAGTGGTTACCGTCGCCTATGGACTTCAGCAATGCCAGGGGCAGAGCCAAGCCGCTGCCTACCGCTTAATACTCTCCATAAGCCTCGTTTGAAGAAGGACACTTGTTCTAGTGAAAGTGGAAAGAACTGATTTTTAAAAAAACAAACACTTACTTCACAACATTAACGTCTTCAAATCAAAATTATGAATTATGTGAAAGCGTCCGATGCGAAAATTCGAAATTGAAAATTCTGTGAACCAATTAAAAGGAAGAGCACAAAGATCTTCATGCTTAACTGTAAATAGCTGTTCAAAGCCAAATACTTACTTCACAACATTAACGTCTCCAAATCAAAATTATGAATTATGTGAAAGCGTCCGATGCGAAAAATCGAAATTGAAAATTCTGTTAACCAATTAAAAGGAATAGCGCATAGATCTTCATGCTTAACTGTAAATAACTGTTCAAAACCAAATACTTACTTCACAACATTAACGTCTTCAAATCAAAATTATGAGTTATATGAAGCGAGCGTGAAAAATTCAAAGCTGGAAATTATGTGAACCAATTAAAAGGATTAGCGCAAAGATCTTCACGCATAACTGTTAGTAACTGTTCTAGATGGATAGGACTCGAAAATCGTATTTTACTTTATCGAACAATAGTGAGCGTGTTGACACAGATCGTTTGCGACATCTTGATCTACTGAGAAACTTGGGCTCTTTCTGTCTTTGGTACCGTGTATTACATGGTGATTACCCTAAAAAGTTGTTGATCGAGATATTCCCTTCGTTCCCTTTTTACCATCATATTGACGGCGTCAGATCACAGCTCATCTATGCTATCTAAAGCGCGTAGATCTTTATTATCACGTACGCTTAGAAAATGAAACCCTATTTCGTGATTTTACCGAGTGCTATATGTCCTTCTTCAAACAAGGCTTCAGGAGAGTCTGCATCAGCTTGCAGCGGCAGCCTCTGATATCGTTGACGTATGATTATAATTTCGTTGCCTGTTTCGTTGCTTGGGTCGTATATATGGTACTACAAATAGATACTTTGCGTATTGTGATTCCGCTCGGATCGTCCATCGTCCTAGCTCTTTCTATCCCGAAATCGTAATGCATTCTGATTTTAAAAGTACAAAATATCCGTTACACTATGCATTTGAAATGTCGATGGAATGTGATGTATATATTCTAATTACTGCATAC